CGGTATTCGTTAGATGAGCATTAATACACTTTTAATGAGCATCCGCCGTACTCTACTGAGCATTGTGATATAAACTTCATATATTGTCATTCACTTTCATTTTCTTATTTTTTCTTTTATAAAAACTCATTAAATTATATCTATAATCAACTCATATGAACTTCAATATTTGAATCTAATGTAATATGATACTTTTGAAATTTGCATCGATATGACATTATAAAAATGAGCATAACATCAATACCAAATAAGCATATGTAACTTATAAATGAGCATTGGTATAAAAATCGTAAACTTTGTTCGTTGAGTGAGCATCAAGACTAGTGGCGTAGGTGGGGGGGGGGGCAAACGGATCTTGGGCCACCCCTAATGTTAAAACTCTTGAATGAGCATTAACGCAATTGTGTTGAGCATCAAATCTGTTCTTTTGAATATTAGAATTCTAAGAATGAGCATCAGTGTTCTCTACTTGATAGTAGTGTATTCTAATTCGCTTTCTTTTTATTATTTTTTTCGTTTATAAAAACTCTAAATTTATGTCTTTACTCAATTCTAGTTAATTTCAATATGTCTTGACATATGCAACATTTTAAAATGAGCATAAAGAGACACTAAATAAGCATACACAACTTACAAAATGAGTATCAAAAAATTCAAAAATACATTTGTGTGTGCTCATTCATTTTGGATGTTATACTCATTTGATTTTAACATAAAACTCATTTCTAATGTAGTATGATATGTTTGAAATGTGCAACCTTTTAAAATGAGAATAAAGCGATACCCAATGAGTGTACATAATTTACAAAATGAGCATAAAAAATTCACAAGCTCATATGTGTATGCTCGTTCTTTTTGAGCGTTATACACATTTGAGTATTGTAATCCATGTCCATAACACCAATTGAGCATACATAACTTACAAAATGAGTATCAAAAAATTCAAAGACTCATTTGAAATATGTATTGTGCTCAAATATATATTTCTGTATGCTCATTTGTTTTGATAAATTATATTAGGTGGGGGAGGACACCTAATTAAACAAGTCAAGAGAAAGATGGAATGATCCACACAAGTTGTTCAATGCTTCAATTATATATGTTTGTGCCGTATGTGTATTATGTTAAGCGAAAGCACTAGACAAGGAAAAAGCTCTAAGAAGGACGGTGACATCTAGATCCAGGAACTGTCAACACTCTCGGTAACCTAGTCCCATTCTTCAACAAGGTTTATCTAATTGTTTCATTTTTGGGATGAAAAATATAGAAGAAATAAATGAATAAATCATGCCAGAATGCTTAAATACTGATTTTATACGGTTGCTCTACTTTCTTCGTTAGCTGTATACCAGCAATTCGCAGAAGACGGTAGGAATTACTGCCTGACTGTGTACTTCAATCAAGCACGAAGATGAGAAGAAAGGACTGTGAGTCATTCAACCTGGCGAGGACGAGTACGAAGGAAGAAAGCAGTAGTGATGGCCTGCTGATTTGTTCATCCGATGAGTTGCAGAACGTGATTTTTGGTCATCGGCTTCAGATTTAATTACAAAAATGCCGGCTGTACGGTGCTCACCGTACAGCCGGCTGTACGGTATAATTTACCTAAAATTCCTGAGGATGGTAATTTTATATTTCTTTATGTGGTGTTAGTTTTAACAACAATGTTTGATGTACCCACTTTTATACTCATCTTATATTCACCATGTTTATGGAGGTTTTTTTATCTGTGAACCCGGGTTCACAGACAATATTTTGTCTGTGCAAAATATTGTCTGTGAGCCGGGGTTCACAGACAAAAAAACACTTCACAAATATAGGTGTGTACAAAAGTGAGTATAAGAGTGGGTACAAAGATCATTTTTGTATTTTTAATGCGTATGCTATTGTTGAACTTTGAATGCTTAATCCAATACGTGCAAATGATGAAACCACCGGAGATAGTTCAGATCCACCACTAGCTCAATGCTTATCTGGAGAAGGATAATTTAGCTCCAAACTAGTGTGCAGATGGATTTAATGAAGGAGTGTTGAATTCTGCAGATAGTTTGATCAAAGCTATCATGTTTTTGTTTTGAGTTGAATTAAAACATTAAACACTTGTAATTGTGTTTCCCTTTTAAACTCTTGGACATTTTTTGGATGGTCTTACAAAGTTATGAAGTCAGTGACAGCGATGCATCTTATTATTTCAATTGTGTTTGGATTTTAATTTAAATATTTAATTGTTTTTCTTTTACATTTATGGCCCGCAGGTTGGCCCGCAAAACCCGTGGGTTGGATTAGGATCATAAAAATTCTGGCCCGACAGTAAACGGGTTGGTCCGTCTCAACCCGTGAAACTCATAACCTGCAGGGCGGGCTGGGTTGGCCCGTTTGACAGCTCTAGTATTCACACAGACCGATTTTTCCTAAAAGTTAAAATCGTTTTTTATCCCTATTATACCCTCATTACTAAATACAGTTCGCAAGAGAGCTATGAGATGATAGATGGGAATTCACCCCATGTCCCCACCTCCATCATCCTCTTCAAACAAATAAGAGATACTATTTTGATTCCAACAATTAAGCAACTACATGAACCTAAGCTCAAAGGAGGACATCGCTGCAGCAAAGGTCCAAGTGCAATTAACATAGATATGGAAGAAGCTCCAAAGGTTTTGTAGAGTGTGTTTCGGAAAATAAGAAAAAATGATCAATTAAAATTAATTAAATGACTAAAGAAAATCAGAAATTAGATAGAGCAGAAAAATAGCCAGGGCTCGTGCTATGCACGATGTTCTTAAAATGTATTCGTTGCCCCCCACGGTGCAAGAAGCATTGCAACTATCGTTTCCCAGGATACGGTGGCTAACGAACGATCGTTTGAGCACACAAACAAAAGTTCCGGCGAATGAGAACAAAGTGTGAACACTAAGGAATTTTTGGAGAGCTAGATGTGACTTTAGCTGAAAACGTTTGTATTAACTGTGATGTGAGTTGTGTTGTTGCAAAATACCTGCCAACTATATATAGGGACGAATTTGTGGTGCTTTAATGGACCTGAACGTTAGTTGTACATAAATGTCTAGCATGTTGGACATTAATATGTCGAAAACTGTCCATTTAATGCGCACATTAAAAGAAAAGAACGTTGGTCATTAACTGCTGTTACAGATCAGAACCATTCTGGTGCATGACCAGAACACCGGGTGGTCTTCTGGTTCTGGAGCGACCAGAACACCCGCACCAGGTCTTCTGGTTCCGAGTAGTTTTGTTGCGGAGACAAGAAGTTGCCGAAGCCATTTTGTCCTAACACTTCTGGTTCTGGGAAAAAGTAAAAATGTTATGGGAAGAAACAAAAATTAAATTGTATATTTAAAAGATGGATTTTTGGACGACGTCATCATTCGCAGGTAGCCCGCGCACGCAAGTCGCGAGGTTTCTTCTCCGTTTGGTCATTAAATTGTATATACTTACCTTATACTCACCATGTTTATTAAGGTTTTTTGGTCTGTGAACGCGATTCACACACAATATTTTGTTTGTGCAAAATATTGTCTATGATTCGGGGTTCACAGACGAAAAAACCTTCACAAATATAAGTGAGTACAAAAATGGGTATAAGAGTGGGTACAAAGATCATTTATAATAGTGGTGCCATAGGCATATGCCTAGGTGTCTCCCCACTATAGTTGGTCCTGACAAAGACATATCTTATTTTTTTGGTTTTGGAAATGACTTGGTAAATGCAGTTTTCTGTCTTTCGTTTCTCCAGTTTTTCGATAATTTTTTTGTTAAATATGTTTTCTGTTTTATTTATTCTAGTTTTCTAGCCTTCTGAAAAATTGGAAAATATTTGTATTAGTAAACAAGCGCTTAAGTACTACGTAGCTAATTTAACTATCTTACTAACTTCATTTCATTGGAACATTAGGCAGGTCGTTATTAATCAAAAGAAAAGAAATAATTACATAAATATGACCAAAATAAAGATTATTTACAAAAAATGACTAATTCCTAGAGTACTAATGAAAACATAATAATTCATGTTCAAGTTTTGAACTTAAGTTACCACAACACTATGTTGTATTCAGCGGCGGTCGCAGGAATTTCTGATAGCAGGGGTGGTAGAACAAAAATGTACATATAAATGCATATACATTAAAAATTTCGGGGTAAATATACCTAGTTTTTTTTCGAGGGGCAGCAGCCCCGCTTTGTCACCCACTGTGTCCGACGCTGATTGTAGTAATGAATAGTCATATTTAAATACATAAATTTTATTTTAATAATATTCTTATAAAAACTCCACGAAAAGGACGAAAATGATATAGAGTACGCATTCAAAAAAATTCATTTTAACTGGCCAATCAATTTTTCGGCCAAATATTTAAAATTGGCAAATAAGCTACTGGAAGTCTGGAATTGCCACACATTGGATTATGATGTTTATAGATTAACGGTTTTTTTACTTGGAGCCAAAGCAAAATGAAGTGTGCGCACGAAATCGAGTTCTATTTCGTGTATTCTTTCAGTATTATTCTATTGGAGCCCACGCATTCATCCTCACCCTCATTTGTGCGTGCGTATGTATATAAATCCGATCTCAAACTTATTCTGGCCTACTCGATCTCTGCTTCAAAACCAATAATCAGGTAATGTGATTTCCCCCCTTTTCCATCTGCTTGATCTGCTAATTTTAGAAATTTGTGATCGATTGCTGGATTAAAGTTCTCGAAATGAGACTAAAAAGTTCAAAATTTTCAAAATAGGACTGTCATGTTTTTATTCCCAAAATAAGACTAATTACTATCAAATTTGGAAAATAATGTTATGTTTGAAGTTTGGTACTGCCAAAACATGACAGTAATTAGTCTTATTTTAGGAATAAAAACATGGAAGTCCTATTTTGTAATTTTCAAACTTTTTTAGTCACATTTTGGGTAATATCTCTTGATATTGTTATCTTAATCAGCGCAATAATCATGCAAGGTTTGTGTAATTGTGTTTGATTTTAGACGAAACAAAGATGGGTGAGAGGAAGATGATGCAGCGTGAGAGAAAGCAGGGCCGCCGTAAAAAGGTAGAAACTCCCCATCGAAAAAATCGGCGATGGTGGTGTTACGCATTCCCTCGCCCTAATCTTCCATTCGAGACGACAAATTCGTTGATGGTTAAAGAAAGTATTGGCGGATCCGGCGGCGTCACCAAGTCATGGAGATCATCGCCGTCACCTTGTCTTCTTCTTTCCACATCAGCCGCCGCCGCGTATCCGCCGCAGCTTGTGGAAAGGAATGTTCCTTCTGTCGAAAAGCCCGAATACTGGTACTATGGATATTCAGATTGGGACTTCACAATTCCCTTCAAATCTGTCAAGTGTTCGGCCGTGAAGGTCCATCACAGCGCCTCCGGAGATAACTGGACGGTCCCTGCTTTTGAATTCCGCAGAGATCAGTATTACCGGCGTTACTATTATGACATCGGCACGGTCCCAAGGTAATGCCAAATAGGGTAGTTTTCAAGATCATTATTAACTTTGACCAATTATATTTTTAATATAAAATCATTCTAAATACGTAGTATAAAAATTATTTCAAAATGTAAAATATTTTTATATAGTATTAAATTTATATATTATATACAAATATAATAATTAAAATCATTTTTCAAAGTTTATCATGCATTATTAATCAAAGAAAGTCAATAAGGATAGATGATAAACCATTAGTATTGAAAATAACACCACAATTGTAAATAGGAAAAATTGACAAAAATAATCTCATCTTTCGCTGGTCTTCTCATAATAATCCCACCTTTAGATAATCCCAAAATAATCCCACCTTTGCACCCCATTTTCTTTCATTGGATCCTGACCATGTTTTTTACTCTTTTTTTGAAAATCATATAAATAATCTCACCTTTCACTTTTCTATTATATCTTTATAAATGATGGATTATTTATATACGATTTTCAAATAAAGGTAAAAACTTGGTCAGGGTCCAATGAAAGAAGATGGGGTGCAAATGTGGGATTATTTTGGGATTACGTAAACGTAGGATTATTATGAGAAGACCAGTGAAAGGTGGGATTATTCTTGTCAATTTTTCCTTGTAAATATATACTCCCTCCGTATTTAAAAGAGCGCTACGTTTGGTTATAACACAATATTTAAGGTAGAATAGCATGAGAATGAATAGAGAAGATGAAAAAGTAGGAAAGAGAGGATAAAAATTAGAAAAAGTAAAACTTACCAAAAAGGAAAAGTGTAGGGAACTTTTAAATACATCCCAAAAAGGAAGTGTAGGGAACTTTTAAATACATCCCAAAAAGGAAGTGTAAAGAACTTTTAAATACGGTGGGAGTACTCCTCTTGTTATTTTTTTGGGGGGAAAGCAATGACAGAGCCAGAAAAATGGCTCAGGGGGTTGAAACTCAACCTATATACGTAATGAAAATGATAGATCGTTTTTAAACAATGCCCGAGTTGAATATTTCATATGCAGTTTAGATAAATAGGCATTCATAGCAATAACATAGATTGTCTTTACTCCATTTCTAAGTTGTGTCACGTAAGTATCGACGAATTATACCCTATTTTAAAATTTTGGGGAAATAGTTTTTAGTATGCATCAAATTTTGTTGATTTTTGTTTAGATAGTGCTAATTTTCCAGAAGTCAAAACCTTTTACTCGTAATGAGTTACATGGGCGATAAGATATTTCAGAGCTCTATACTCACATTTTCAGCGGGGTCGATTGAATATAAAATTATTCCAAGGAAAAGCACTCATCTTGGGGAAGAGCACATATATTGGGGAATTTTACATTAAACATGCATTTAAACTTTATATAAAAAGTATCTACCCAGCACTCATCTAAGGAAAATATAATTTCTTTCATCGAAAAAATATACTCTCTGTCCCAATTTGAATATGTAGTATTAGTAGTATTATTCGATTTGTTTGTGACTAGTCTAATAACATATACGGGGTGATAAGTTAAGTAGTACCACCTATTATTGTTTTTCATTTTGTTTATTTAAAAGTCATAGAGAAGATTAATTATAGCTCTGCAGATTGAGGGTTTAACCTTACACACTTGACACTTCACTAGAATATACGAAATATTTCATACTATTTACTATGGAAAGTTTCACCCATACTTTTACTACTTTTGGTTTGTTTTTTCCTGAAAATTGTATATTTCAATGAGAAAGTTCTTAATATATTACGGAGTACGAAATATTTCATACTATTTACTATGGAAAGTTTCACCCACACTTTTACTACTTTTGGTTTGTTTTTTCCTGAAATTGTATATTTCATATATTTCTTAATAAAAGAGTTACAACCATGTCTGTGAGGAGTTTTTTTTCCTGTGAATCCGGTCCACAGACATAAAAATTTGCATAAACATATTTTATCTGTGACCGGGATTCACAGACAAAAAAAAACTCTTCACAGACATAGTGGGTACGAAAGTGGGTATAAGACTGGGTACAAACAATTTTTTTTGTATTTTGTTTTGGTATTGGTGTGCTTTTTACACTTCTAATGTATTTACAACAGCCTACACAAACTAGCCTTCAAAATTAATGAGAGCTTTTAATTTCTTCAAATACCAAACATCTCATTTTTACTTTAAGAATGAGTTTTATAGGAGTCAAATCCAGAGCTAAAGTCATCAAATTTGTCTCAATTGAGATAACTTTGGACTTTGCATATATATAATACGAAATTACGAATGGAATGTAAATATCTACTAAAACAATATATATCAAATAGCTCACCAGTAGTTAAAGTAGCTTATGTGCATCTTTCAATACAGGGGGAGGAAAATGAAAGATTGCAAGGTAATTGATCCTTATTCATCAAGTAGTGATCATCCATATATGGAGTTCACAAATTTTATTAGTTTTGAAGGAAAATACTTTGCAATCAGCCGGCAGGGGTGTCTCGCAATTATTGCCAAGAATAGTACAGGTGATTTTGAGATTACTGCATTAGGAAGTAATCGAGTTGTTCCTTCAAAACCATCAAGGCTCTTCAGGGAGTTCTTGTTGCATTACAAAGGAGAAATCTTTGTAGTTTTTTTAATATCATGGAGAGGCGGATCATCGGTCAATGTGGTGGATGATGTCGAAATTTTACGATTGGATAAATCGAGATTGGCTTTTAGAAAGGTGGAGAAGCTAGAAGATGATACAATGTTTTTCTTGGAAGATAAATATTGCATGGCATTTTCTGCTAGCTTAATTGGTTGTCACAATGGAGGAAACTGTGTTTATTTTACCACTACTACTGCTCATGATGATGGAAATGAAGGTGAAAGTCATACTTGGTTTGTTTACGATCTGAAGACAGGTTGCATTTCACCTACAAATGGACCTGAAATTGATCCTTATCATTAATTTGGTATAATTTATTATCTCATCGCAATATGGATATCTGTAAAGGATGGATGTCATATTTGTTTTCGTTTTCATTTTGTTGTGTCTAGTTAAGCAGTGGGTTTCCAAAATGGAACAGCCCAGTTCCCTTTAAGCAGTGGGTTATATCTAATTTTTTTTTAAAATTAGATATAGAAATACATGTATATGATTGATATAATAATTTATAAAATGTAGGTAACATCTTAATGGTAAAGTAATTTTGAACACCTAACACTTAGTTGCAAGATCTGCCACTGTCTGTAAGGCACAACACCTTCGGAAATTTAATGGTCATCAACCGGTGTGAGCTCTCCTGCTTTTGCCTTCTATAGATGGGATTTCAAAAATCAATATAAACAAAGGTATGGCGTGATATACTCCCAACAGTTCAAGCTCTAAATTTGCAAACACGAGCTTCACTGGGTATGTTTGGTTCAAGAAATGTCAGATTACCATGTGAATGTCAGATCGCTGGGTATGTTAGATTGATGGGAATGTATTCAATTTGTACTCATTTGTGTTTGGTTAAGACTAAAGGAATGCGACATTAATTTGTTTGGTTAAATCATGTACTATCCTCCGTCTCTTTTTAATCGCAACGTGTTGACTTTTTGCACTGTTCACATGATTTACTTTGACTATATTTTACACTGTTATTTTATGGAAATTATTTTTTAGAAAATATAATTTTCAATTTATCTCATTACAAATTTTCAAAATCTAATTTTTAATATTTTTTTGTTAATAGAGATTAAGATATACTTACGGTCAAATGTGTGCATTGGCAAATGTGCAAAGTTTGACTGTTGCAACTAAAAAAGAAAGGAGAAAGTATTATACAACAGACTTGGTGAATTTCTTCAATGCCCTTAAAAATATTTTCTCGTAATACCCCTATTACAATCGTCGGGGTCCCGAGAAAGAGTGTCTTCATCGATAGGAGCCTACGTTTTTCATCGATAAAAAAATCAATGGACCGCACGTCACTAATAGAATGACCTAATTATTCAAGGACTTAGGGGGCAATTAATCAACCACTAGTGAAAAAAATCAATGTTTGATCCTTCTAAATCATTCTTACTTTATTCTAGATTTATTAATTCACAATCCACCACATAACTCCTTTTTTCTTAATAATAACACCATCTCCTAATATATTAAGTTATCATGATCATTTAAGCTTAAAAATTCAATATAAGTTATTATGATTAAATTACTACGGTAGTCACTACTCACATTTTTGTAAACAATCTTTATTTTGATCATAAATTTGTAATTATTTTATTAATTTTTAATAAATCAAATTCAATTTTTTGGATGAACTGTAAGTATATTATAAAAAAGCATCCAAGAAGACAAAGGTTCAGCCAAGCCACCAAGAAACATTAAGGCCTGAAACATTTCCAAATTCCTTTAACGCATCAATGAGGACTTTAATTGAAGGATAATCCCCTCTAGAAAAGAGCATAAGATCATCAGCATAAGCGACACTTGAGATGTTAAGTTTACCACACTTCGGGTGGTACTTAAAAGAGGAAGTCTTGGTCCTATTATGAAGGAGTCTCGAGAAGTACTCAAGGCATTAGAGGAGGGGGGACATTGGATCACCTTGCCGAAGCCCCCTTTTCCCTTTGATATTCCCATGAAGTATCCCATTAATGGAAATGGAAAAGGAAGGTGAGGAAACACATTCTATGATCCACTCAACAAATCTCTTAGGAAAGCCAATTGTCAACAAGACATTACTCAGAGAAAGGCCCATGATATAGTGTCATAAGCTTTCCTAAGGTCCACCTTGATCATGGATCTAGGAGACAAATGTTTCCTAGAATAGCCCCTGACAAGTTCTTGAGCCAAAAAGACGTTATCAATCATAAGTCTTCCATCAATGAATTAATAAATCAAATTCAAAAGTATACATGTTGTATTTCTTAATCCGGCGATGGTGGTGTTACTCATTGCCTCGCCCTAATCTTCCCTTCGAGACGGATAATTCGAGAATGGTTTTAGAAAGCATTGGCGGATCGGGCGGCGTCACCAAGTCATGGAGATCATCGCCATCATCTTGTCTTCTTCTTTCCACATCTGCCGCCGCAGTGTATCCGCCGTCGCTTGTGGAAAGGAATGTTCCTTCTTCGCATGTCGGAGAGCCCGAACCTTATTTTCATTACTGGGCAGATTCACATTGGGACTTCACAATTCCCTTCAAATCTGCCAAGTGTTCGGTCGTGAAGGTCAATCAGGGCCGCGAAAATAGCTACACGGTCCCTGCTTTTACATTCCGCAGAGATAAGGACCGGTGTCGTTATTATGACAGCTACACAGTGCCAAGGTTTGTCAAATAGGGAGTATTTTTTTATACAAAATTATTTTGAATATGAAAAATTATGTGTTTAAAATGTTTTTATAAACTATTCCCTCCTTCCCAATTTACTTTGCGAAACTTGACTTTTCAAGTCTATAGTACCTAACTTTGACTGATTATATATCTATATAGAGTAAATATTAATAATATAAAAATTGTATGAAAATGTTCTTTGTTGAAAATATTACTTCCTCTGTTCCCTTTTAATTGCAACAGTTAACATTTCACGTTTGTCAACGCACAAGTTTGACCATTAATATCTTTCATTCCTAATTAGTAAAAAATTCAAAAAAATCATATTTTGAAAATTTAGAATGAGAAGAATTTAATAATATTTTTTTAAAAAATAATTTATAATACATTAATGAATAAAATATAGTCAAAGTAGAATATGTGAATAGTGAAAAAAGTCCAATGTTACGATTAAAAGAGAACGGAGGATAGTATAACAAAAATATAAAATTATTAATTTTTTCGTAAATATATTAGTTAAAATAATTGATCAAAGTTTACCATCTTTGACCGGAAAAAGTCAAGATTGGCTAACTAATTTGAGACGGAGGTAGTACAAAATTTATATATTACATACAAATATAATAGTTAAAATAATTTTTCAAAATTTGTCATTATTAATCAAAATAAGAAAGTCAATTCCTCATGCTTGTTTGAGATGGAGGAAGTAGATGATAATCAAAATTTGTTTACAACTACCCAGGTAGTTAATGGTAGACCTGTCAATGGGTCGGGTACAGGCCGGAACATAGTATCCCAGACCCGGACCCGTTAGCCTCTACGGGGTTCCAGACCTGACCCATATACCCGGCGGGTCTAGAACTAATGTTCCGGACTCATACCCATTGGGTCTCGGAACCGGGTCCGGTAGACCCGACCCGTCTCACGAAAATCCAATTCTAATTTCTTAAATAAAAAACATGACCTCTTACTACCGAGTAATTTTCTGGCAACAATATGGTACATGAACTATAATTACTTGTTTGTAACTACTCAACCAAAAGTAACAATTTAAACATGAAAGTTCCAGATCTACACATTCAAAATGTAACACATAAGGTGCACTGGTTTTGCCACGGGGGAATAAACATAAGTTCTACACAAACGTAAGTTTAATTTAACAAATAAGGTGCATTGGGCAACTCCAAAACAAAAGTTATCCAGGCCAAAAGCCTCTTTGAATCTGTGATATAAAAAATAACAAAAACCAAAATAACTCCATCTGACTTTTACAATAGCATAATTACAAAGGCATACTCCAGTAAGTTGATTTCACTTTGAAAAGAGCAGCAATCCTTTTATAATTTACATTCTGCAAAAACATCCTGGTTCTAGAATTATGACTCTTCCAGTGTTCTTCTACTGCAAGTGTAGAATAATTTTGCCTTTTTTGAGAATTTTGAGTTTGTTTATAATTTGCAAGATATGTAGTGTTAAAATAAAGAGTAAAATTAATGGCTTTGGAAGCTGGACAAGCTTTTTTTGAATCCTTTGCGGTCTGGAACTCTAGCTTAGGGATCCTTCTTAGGATTTATTAAACTAAATCATAATGTGGGTGGCAGCTAATCTAACAGGTATATTAGAGCAATGTATATATATAAATAAGTATTAACGGGTAGGGTCCTAAACGGGTCGGAACTACATATACCATATACCATACCCGACCCATTAAATAACGGGTCCGGATCCGGGTCCGAGTAACGGAATTAAATGTAGACCCATACCCATTAAAAAAAGACGGATCCGGGTCCGATAAACAATTAGTTTAGAAAATAACACCATAATTGAAAATGTATACTCCTCTTGTTATTTTTGAAAAAAAAAACACATATATCGTGAAAAAACACATTAAATTTTCACTTAAACTTTATACAAAAAGTATCTAACACCACTCATCTAAGGAAAATATAATTTCTTTCGTGGAAAAAATATACTCTCCGTCTCTCGATCCCAATTTGTATATGTAGTATGGAGTATTGTACAATTTCTTTGTGACTAGTCTAATAACATGTACGGAGCGATTAGTTACGTAGTACTGCCTATTATATTATTTTTGTAGTTATTGTCCTAAACATGATTAATGAACCCCTAAAAGGACTAAACATTTATTTTCTACCCTAAATATCCCTAACGGTATTAATTCATAATGAAATGTTTTAATTCATAATAAAATCATGAAAATAAAGAAACATGTAAAAAGTAATAAAAACCTGTAAAAAAACTATTAAAAATAATAACATATTTATAAAAAAATTAAAAAAAAATTAAAATAATTTTTTAAGAAATTAATAGAAACTGTAAAAAAGATGATACCTTTCCCACCGCCTCCCAGCACCACCACCTTTGATCGGTGAAATTTCTTCCACTTTTGAAAAAAATGACATCTTTTTCTGAAAAAGCCAAGAAAAAGGCATAATTACTCTTCATTATGCCAACATTTTCATTGATTATGGCATTATTTACAATTTTGGCAGATTTTCTCCGGTGATGGAAGTTGGTGGTGTTGGGGTGGCACAAGTGGTGGCGTTTTTTTTTTTACGTTTTTAATTTTTTTTAAAAAAATATTTATTTAAAAGAAATTTATTTATAAATATTTTATAAATTTTTTAGTATTTTTCTACGTTTATTATTTTTACACGTTTTTTATTATTCTCGTATAATTTTATTATTAATTAAGACATTTTAAAAGCTACAAGAGTATATTTGCCCAAACATACATAAATAGTCCTATTGGGGGATTTAAGACATGTAATCCTATTTGTGCAATTTTGCCAAATTTTAATCCTATTTAGAAAATTGACTCTTATTTTTTGCATTTTGTTTACTTAAAAGTCATAGAGAAGATATACAAAGTATTACAGATTTGTAGATTGAGTATTTAATTAACATTATACACTTCTCCGACACTTCTCTAGAATATACGAAATATTTCATACTCCCTCTGTCTCACTTAAAGGTTCTCACGCGATTTAGGATGTTTGACTTATCATAAAGTTAACTGTTCTCTGTCATTAGTAAGATTATTTTTATTAAATAAAATTTACATATTCAGAAACTACGTTAAAAGTTTTATATTCCGTAATACCTAATCAAGAAAAATTAAATTTGATAAAAGTTGGATGTATAAAGTAAAAGAGTAAGAATAATTCACGGTAACCTTTAAATGCAATGGAGGGAGTACTATTCACAATGGAAAATTTCACCGACACTGTTACTACTTTTGGTTTGTGTTATCCTGAAAATTGTATATTTCAATGACAATGTTCTTACCATAATACTCCGTATGAAGTAAATAAATTTACTACTTGTATCAATAAAACTATGGGGCAAGTAACGAGTACCGTAAGAGAGTTACTACTAAAAAACTCCGATATTTATAGTCTATTTTCAGTCCAACTACTAAAAATGAAATTTAACATTGTTCTAAGCGTATTAGTAAATATAATATTTTTTTTATCACTTCAAAAGGTAAATACAGATGGATTCAAGTAATTTTTTCCTAAAACATTTGCATATACAAAATCAAGTAAATATAAAGGAAAATTTTCAAATATGTGTGAGATTTTCATACGCAATATTTAATGGTGAATGCACTTCTAATGTTTTGATATAGGTGTGCTTTTCACACTTCTAATGTATTTACAACAGCCCACACACACACTAGCCTTCAAAATTGATGAGAGCTTTTAATTTCTTCAAATCATGGACCAAACTTCTCATTTTTACTTTAAGAATGCCTTTCATAGGGGTCAAATCCAGAGCTGAAGTCATAGAATTTAGCTCAATTGGGACAAGTTTGCACTTTGCATAATACGAATTGAATGTAAATACTACAGTATCTACTAAACCATTATAAATCGAGTAGTTTGAGTCGCTTATATGCATCTTTTATTACAGGCGCTGGACAATGAAAGACTGCAAGGTGATTGATCCTTATTCATCAAGTAGTGATCATCCATATCTGGAGTTCACAAATTTTATTATACTTGAAGGAAAATACTATGCAATCAGCCGGCAGGGGTGTCTCGCAGTTATTGCCAAGAACAGTACAGGTGATTTCGAGATTACTGCATTAGGAAGTAATCGAGTTGTTCCTTCCAAGGCATCAAAGCTCTTCAGGGAGTTCTTGCTGCATTACAAAGGAGAAATCTTTGTAGTTTTTTTAATATCATGGAGAGGCGGATCATCTGGCAATGAAGTGGATGATGTCGAAGTTTTACAATTGGATAAATCGAGATTGGCTTTTAGAAAGGTGGAGAAGCTAGGAGATACAATGTTTTTCTTGGAAAATAAATATTGCATGGCATTTTCTGCAAGTTTAATTGGTTGCCATAAGGGGAGAAATTGTGTTTATTTTATCACCAGTGCTCATGATGATGGAGATGAAGTTGAAAAGCACACTTGGTTTGTTTACAACTTGAAGACAGGTTGCATTTCACCTACACATGGACTTGAAATTGACCCACCATTAATTTGATATAATTTATTATCTCATCGCAGTAGTATATCAGTATATGGATATCTGTAAAAGATGGATGTCATGCTTGTTTTTCGTTTTCATTTTGTTGTGTCTAGTTAAATGATGAACATTTTTCCATTGTGAAATATGAAAACTTCTAGATGTCATGTTGTTTGTTTGTCATGGGAACTTTTAATCCCACTTTTCCATGGAAAACTAACTACTTTACCAAGCCATGGAGATCACTTGACTGATTCGAAGAGTACCATCGTCATGGGAACTTTTAGATCAATTGAGCCGTATTCATCAAGTAAGGATCATCGGTACATGGAGCTCAGTTCACTAATGCTATTGGATTTTAAGGAAAGTTCTATGCAATCAGCCGACAGGGTAGTCTTGCACTTGTAGAAGACAAGGACAAATCTGGTGATTTTCAGATAACTGCTCTTGGAAGGAAGAGGGTTGTTCCTTCTAAGCTATCAACACCCTTCAAGGAGTTCTTGCTGGAATATAAAGGATGAATCTTTTTAGTGTTCTTAGTATCGTCAATAGATGAGGTGGATGACGTTGAAGTTCTTCGACTGGATGAATCAAGGTTGTCATGGGAAAAGGTGGAGAGGCTTGAGGGTGACACAATGTTTTTCGTGGAGGATAAATGTAGCATGCATGGGAATTTCTGCAAGTTTTATAGGATGCAGTAGGGGAGGAAACTGTTTTTATTTTAATACAACTACTCATCATGATGAAGATGGAGGTGAAGGTCATACCTGGTTTGTTTTTTACATGAAAACAGGCTGCATTTCACCTGCATCTGAACCTCAGATTGATCATTGACCTTTCTTTTACATAATTCATCATCTCTAATGTTCCTTTTTCACAAGTTATCCAATCAATATCTATATAAACTTGCTTATTCAAGACTTCAAGTTCATGTTGCTAAATTGAGTAACAATCCAAACGAAGCATCACGAATCAGTCAAGTAATATTTCATTACAGCAAAAGTTTCAGTAATAACAGCATCAAGATAATAAGTAGTACTATACCATTGATCACTAATTAAACAGAGTAGAGATGAAGTCATGAAGACGAAGAAGGTCGGTCAGAGGGACAGCCCAGACTCCTCATCCTCCTCCAGGCCAGAAGTGTAGACCATGTAAAATGACCAAGTTAGCCCCAGCACCCCCAACAGTATCCACCCTAGAAGGTTGTTGTTCAGCCCGAACGGAAGCCCCGTCCCCTCCGTGCCCATCCTCTGATCCACCAACGCCATGGCTGCCGGGCTCGACATCACAACCGCCGCCGCCGACATCAAGGATGCACCGCCGGTCCTCAACTCTGACTTCCTCTCCGTCTTTCTCTCCATCGAACATCTCGTATTCGCCACCTTACTCATCGCCGGCAACCCTCAAAATTGAAATGAAAAGTTATTGTCAATTCATCCAAGGGAAGCTCAACAGTAAAAATTGATCCGAAACTACTAAAACAAAACTCTTGAGTCAGTTAATTTTGAGGAAAAGTTTTGGATCCGTAATATTACGAAGACAAAAATGTTGATAGAATCAAAGCTAAACATACCAAGAGCGGAGGGGCGTGATACAGGGGATTTCGGCACGAAGGAAGCACGAGCTAGGGTGGAAGCTGAAGAGCAGGCAGAGATGGTGGAGGCCATTTATGTTTTGGTTTTGATTAATGAGAATGAGATGATGGAAGAGGACCAAGCTCTGAGTTACTTTACTGTGTTTTCAGTTTGATTGACTTTGAGGATGGAAGGAATTTGCAGATTAAGGGGTTGTTTGTTTGATAAAGCAAGGAGCACTGAGTAGCCACACAAAAAAGAGATGAGATGGACACCCCTAATCCACTCCAAGCCAATCAAATTTACCCATGTGGCATGGCATCTTTGTTGTGCTAGAATTTTATTAGGGGGCGTTTGGTATGATGTAATATACGTAGTGTAATTACTTTGCACGGATGTGTAACGACGTAAAATATTTACACTGTTTGACTTGATTATTTAATGCAAACTGAATGACACTTTTTAAAACATTTCGATATGTACCATGTAAAGTATTTTACGTGAAAGATTGTGGTAAAATACTTTGCATGCCTTTTATGAAGTACTGCAATGACTTTGTGTGCAATTTAAAAATAAATTACATATCTGACCAAACAATGTAATCTATTTTACATGCAAAATGAATGTTTCCCTATACTTTTGCATGCAATCACTTCGGGTGCAAAGATTTAATGTGTTAAACGACCAAACGAGCTCTTAGAGTGAAGTTGGGAGACATTTCATCTCTACAATTTTATGTATATTTGGAGCTCTCGACCTATTAATTGGATTTTTATTGAAAAGAATTGGATATTTTTTTTGAAAATGAAAACGAATTGGATATTGAAAAATAAAAAATAAAAATCTCCTTTGGATGAAATAATCATTTGATTCTCTTACCCAAATGTAAGAGTTTCATTATTTTCTGGATTTTCCGTACTTCACATATTTAACCCCTTTGATTATAATCACTTACGACACGCTAGTAAATGTCTGTGTAACATTTTATTATTTCTTATTTATACGTAGTAATATTTTACAAAAATTCTAAAAGTACACACTTTTGGGGTACACATTCTTATACATTGTGTGTGTAGACATTTAATTAAACGTTTGCTTTGTCTGTACAGACAAAAAACGCTACACAAACAGTGTGTAAGAATGTATATCTCACAAATGTGTACCCCAAGTCTAAGGAGATGTTTGCTTCATTTCTTATTAAACGGTGGTTAGTAAACGTTGTGTTAGTAAGCCCTGCTTAATAAGAATTGCTTACTAGATACGTGTTTACTTGAATTAACTCATCGATGGCGCTTACTAGTTTTACCAGAGACGTTTGTCTGGGTTTGTGAAAGAAACGTGTTTTAGGTAAAGAGATGTGGGATAGGAGTGTAAATAAAAATTTCGTATAGGAAAAAGTAAGGACCCGCTCGTCAATATGAAAAGTCTTAAATCAACGCTTGAATAAAACATGGGAAGGGCATGGGTTTAGTAAGCGGTGCTTTAAGCGGGTATCATGATTACTAAGCGGGTAGATGCGCCCCTTTTCCTGTGTATATGACAGGACTTTCTTGAGCAGGGAAATGGACTCCCCATATTTTAGTAATCTTGCTCTTGGTTTTGTCTTCTATTCATAAATAGTTTCAAATTTCCCTAGCTGCTTGGTTTGCAGTCTGCTTCTGAATTGCATATGAGCATTTTAAACTAATGTCCGAAAGCCTTGATCATTTTTGGTGGATAATTTAACATTTTATGGGCATGGATGATTTAAAATAGGAGTATGTGTTATTCTGCCAAAAAAAGGTATATAAAGGAATAATAAAATGTTACTATCGTATAAAATAAGAAATAATAAAATGTCATATTAAAATTCTTGAGTACTCATCTTATCACCTTTTATTAGGAAACCTCAAATCTTACAAAATTATGTATAAACATTATTTTTCATCAATAGATAATTTTACAATCTATAATAGTTTTAGCCTTTCTTATAATCTTACATGGAAAATGTTGCTTGTACAAGTTTTTGTACATGTCATTTTGCATGCCAATCGAAATGTCGATGCACTAATAATTTTTTTCGTTTACTGAAGGACTTTGCACCAACAACTTTTTCTGGGGCACAAAAAAATGTCGATGTGAATATCAGTTCTTTTAACAAAATCAATTCGCGCATAAAATTACATGTATAAAAAACGTGTATATGAAATGGCTTACAAATCACATTACTACGATTGGTACAAATGTGTGCTGTGTGCAACCTGCATAGATTGACTTGGAAAAATTATTAGTCTAAGTTTGTAGATATTTCTGAAAGTAGAAGTGTTGATAACCTTCACTTCAGCCAAAAAAATCGGCAAAAGCTATTTACCATGCTCTCTTTGGAAGACTATATATTCTGATATTAAAAATTTGCTAACCAAACACAACCTAAAACTTCTCAAGAGCAGAATGCTTTATATTTCTGAAAAAAAAAATGAATTTCTTTAAAAAAATATTGTCAGCTCAAGTTTCTCTCTCGAAATTTACACAAACTACAATGAATACAAGTATTCAAAAATTTTGGGGTATGTGATTTGTATGTGTATTTTAACTGTGTATGTTGCACTGTTGAAGATAGGGGTGTTCATAGTTTAAATGCTTCTTCCAATATGATATGTATTTCTCCATCACCAAATCCAGCCATGGTTTCATCGGCCCATCAAAATGTATAACCGCTGCCCTCTCAATCTCAGCTTTCTCCCTGCTGCTGGAGTCATCATAGCCTAACCCAAGGAGGTGCCATCTTTTGTCCAGCGCCAGTGTATGATTGTAAAAGGTTAGCCAACCTATTGGCAAACTACCAGCTTTCAATATTGGATTATTGCTTCCCTACACCATTATAATCCAAAACACCAAAGAAAAAAAGATTGGAGTTATAATGAATAAAACTATAGAGTTAAATGAAAATGAAAACAGAGAAAATCGGGAGGAAATAAAATATGG